AATTTCCGTCCTCGAATTGAAATGTTATTACGTTAGCGACACATTTCGGTTCCAACTCTCTTCTTTATCTTACGTTTCCTGTTATTTGGTAAATGAAATTTGAGGCCGCTGTTTAACGAAACGAACGAAAGAAGAAAGTGAAGTCAAGGAAGAAGAACCGGAGGTGTCTTTCGTGAATTTGATTCCTCGAGTCGGTTCGGAAAAGGCAGAAACGAGAAGAAGATTGCATCCACTTTCGTTTCGACACCGGTGTATTGCACACTTTCTTTGGAATCGAATTAAATCCGTTAGAGCACAGAGTTCTCTAAGTCTGCCCGTGAAGGTACGCGCGTTTACTCGATCTGGTATCTAACTGAAAGAGCTCCTCTGGACTCCATTTCGTGTCGTCGCAAAGCGACGAACCGATACGGAGGAATGCGGCCAGGATATTTCACCCGGTGCATCGGTATTTCCGGCTTTCGAAGTCGCCCGATGAAACGTTAGGGGAGATTTGCGCGAACGGTGAGTGTAGGCGGCTTGGAAATCGCTGATTCGAGTGTGTTCTCCCGTGTACGTGAACGGTTTCAACTCCCCTAAAAATCTGCTCCTTGTATACCATACGGAATCCGGTGTATTTCTATGGCGATCGAGACTTGTCGCGTTACCTATCAGTTCAATTTATTAAACCTTTTCCCTTAGCAAATTTATTGCATACCGTGAACACTAAATTCTGGTTCAGTGAAGCGGAAGTATAATTTCTTCCCGGAATTGCTTAATAGCTAACGCGATCGCTAATGACTATTTCTTCGTTCCACCCTCTGGTATTTCGTTCATCATCCCTCTCGGCGAGATTCTTTGCCTTTTGTTCCAACCGAATGCTCGTATTCGTGTCTGTACAAAACCAATCTGCATGCCACGATCCATTGCATCACTCTACGAGGCTTTTTATCCGCTGCGTCGAGAAGAAAGTGCTACAGAGAGGGTTGAAGAAAGGGGAAGAGCGAAAGGAAGGAGATTCGCCGAGTGGAGGCGGAGTGTCTCAAAAACAGGAACATTCTCGTGGTTTAATGCCGGCGGTACTGTCCATTGCTTGTGAACGGAGAAAGGGGTAGCGTTTCTCGCTCCTTCCCCATTTTCTCTTCTCGAGAGAATCGAGGGGAGCCGAAGGGAGGACGAAGAAACGAAGAAATAAAGGAACAAACGGTTTTGGACGGTGAAACTTCTGCGAGGTAAGCGGGAAGGGGACAGAGATAAAGGCGACAGATGACGGAGTATTTCGTGAAAACCGGAGGAGGAAAAGAAATAAAGGTTGTGGGCAGGGAAGGAAGAAAGATGGAAGACTGACCAGAACGAGTGACTTTTATTGCAGCGAACTGTGTTAATCTAGAGCGCCCATAAATTCATCCGAGCAGAATTGCTTCTTAACCGCCGCCATTCTCCTTGTGAAACCGACAATCCGTCGAAGTCTTTAACTAACGTACGTGATCTCTGCTTTCTTACCCGGGCCAAAGCTTCAACCACCCCTGGATATCCTCTTCTCCGTTTCACCCGACAAGTATCTTCGTGGTGAAGTCGAAAATATCTCTGGCCAGGGTAAATTCAAGGAAAGGAGACCGTGCGGCAAAAATAACCCCCAAAACGAGAGAGCGTAAATACCAATCGGATTTGCGAACGACAAATATTTAATTACGGCAGAGAAAACGGTTCGTTTCCAGCGCGGGCGTAAATGACGGAGGCGAAGGGATGATGAAAAAAAAAAGAGGACGAAGGATAAAAAGGGAAAACGGAGGCTTTCAATCTCCCGTTCCTCCTATTATCCGCGCAGCCATTTCGATTCCTCGAGGCTTCCAACGTCCCGGCTAACAGTTAGTTCACCAGCCGAATTACACCGGCGGGTAATATCTTTTCCAGGCATTAATTAGCTTCTGTTTTCCGGACCCATCAATTTGCGACTCGCACTGCAATTCAACTAGCCTTCTCTCCAGTCTCTTTTGTTCGCGATCAGATACTCCCCGTCGAACTTGAAGATACTTCAAATATACATATTTTCACGCGATTTTATTTAGGAAAAGGAGGGAAGATGATTTAAAGATTCCTCTTGGAACACCGTGTACTCGTGACCTCGCATGGACAAATTCGCGTTACCCCTTAACGAACCACCGGAAATCGTATCGAGAATCGTTAATTAAGAGGGCTTCAGCGGGCAAAACAAAATCGATAGGGAAATTAAATTAAAACGAGAACAGGACGAAGCACGATGTGGATGAACGACAAGAGAGAACCGTAGGAGAACCATTGAATGCCATCGTGGCTCTCTTCACACTTTGAAAATCTGGCTTCGAGGGACTCAAACTTCGCTCTTCCCGCATCCATCTCTCTCTTTTTCTCTCTCGTCAGAGTCGTTTGATATTCACGTACCGTGAAGTTTTGAGGGAAACCTTATATTCGATCCCCCCGACAGGACTTGAGCGCCGCGTTTCCAAAGGCCCGCGGCAAAACTGGCACGGAACGAGTCTCTACGTCGTGTACATACGGCTATGTACCGTATATATACCTATCTACGAGGTGCAATTTGCATGCTCGTCCTCGTTTTAAAGCCTACCGGTGATTTCCGGCGTCATAGTTTCTATACCCGCTGCGAAAACTCGACCCGAATCCTTCTCTTCCAATACTCCCTACTGTCGCTACAGCTCCTGCGATTTCGTTCGAAATCATTTTCCAACAGTGGAATTAACAGAACAATGACAGATTCGACAGATTCGGGCTATTTAAAAAAGAATGAAAAATATTAAACATATGAAAATTTTATCCGATCCTTTGATCGTTTATATCGGTCAAAAGAAAAGAAGAAGAATGCCCCCGGGAGGATATTAAAATATCGATGTCAACAGTGAGTCCGGCAGGAACGGTGTCCTACTTCGAAGACATCGATGGAAGGAAGGAAAAGACGGGGAATTAGCCGCGAAACGAGCAATGCCGGAAGCACGTGTACCAGAGAGCTCCGCAGGAAGCTAGGTCTTTCCTTTGAATGCGCTTAATTGCGAGCACAGTTTCGTTTCCAGTAGGGAGCAGACGGTCTGACGAGGAGCACGGAAATGATTAACGACAAAGCCTGTCTCCGTCGGATCCCGGTGAACCGAACGAGACGATAGAACGAAAGAAGAAATAAATCTCGAACGCGAACAAAATGAACGGGACCTTGCAATTATCCCGTGACTTCGAAACTATCGACGGGATCGGGATAGGACCGCTACCGGCAAGAACATTTTAATCATCGCTGGAGCCGGTTACCTTTCATTCCAACTTTCCACCGTACCGTGCAATTATTTATTCCACGAATAATACATCTTGTTACGACCACCGTGAACATCATTGTTCCCTGTCCATTGTTCAATCGTTACAATCTGTTTCATAAATAACGTCTACTGTGTCCGCAAAAAAATTACTCGTCTGACGTTACGTGCTACTAATTTGGAGAACTATACACGCGTTTTGATAAACGAGCCCGATAAAATTGAACGGGTTACGAGTTGTTTCATCCTCGCGGATTAAACATCCGGGACACGAGTGTTCGTTTATTTGGCAAACATCGCGTTCGTTATCTACGATCGCGTTCGGATCGATGGATTTTATAAAAATATGATGTACCAGTGCACGATCTGCCGTCCAGTTGGAAACAATATACGAAACATTAACGAAATACTATGAGAGATGATCGTCGTTAAAGCTAACAGTCTTTGACGATTTAACGGCAAGAAAAATTCCATAATCGAGACAAATATTTCTTTTAATCAAACGCATCGCGATAGAGGGAACACGAGAACGAAGCAGAGGAAAGAAATTAAGTGGCGAATGATTTATTCGCTCGGTCAAACGAAACAACATCGAGTAGACGAGTTTATTCGTTTATCCGGCAAATATCGAGCCCCTGCAATCTTGAATGCCGGCCCGAAAATATGATGGTATGCCGTTGTAGCGACAGGAAGAAGCCGAGGCAGACAGCGAGGCTGGCGGAAAAGGAACAGAGAAGATCGGGATAGAGAAAGAGGGGCTGTACAAGGGGGTGGACGGACGAGCGAGTAACCGGAGGGTGGGTGGTTGGTCTGACGCAGCAAACAGAAAATAATACCGCGGCCATTGTTCCCGTTTCGCTTTTCTGTCTCGCTTCATTCACTCTCCGCTACAATCGAGCCTCTGTCCTAGGAACCCTCTTCTATTGTCATGTTTCGCTAGTTTCCTTCTCTCCCTCTTTCATCATTTCCACCCTCCATCTTCATCCTATCTCCTCTCTATTCTCCGGTCTGTCTCCTGTCCCATATTCTTCGGAACGGCACGCGTATTCCCCTATTTATAACACTACGAATTCTTAATTATCGAATGCTCTGTTATGTCTCAGCGCTGTGTCGCGTTGCTTTCTCCCCATATAAATCAATTTTTTTGTTCGTTTGGAATCGTACAACTTCAAAGTGACTTCTCTCGTTATCCACGACGCCGTGGAAATTAATTGAATCCAACGCGTTTTCTCCGTTCTTTCATCTCGCGGCAAATCAACTTTCATATCTGAAGAGACGATATTAAGTTTTTCCATTTTCCTGTCGTATCAAGCAATGCTTGTTTCTCTCTTTGATCGTTCACGTGCGTTGAAACCTATTGCCTCGTTTACACGTATTCGATTTCGATTCGCGGCAAACTGATTCATACTTGAGCGATTGTTCAAATGCAGGAAAGATATGTTTATAAATCAGCGATCACGGTAGCCTTTTCTTTCTCCCTCATTTTTTTCTGCGTGCTCATATTCGATTGTCTCCCATCGAGGTGGAACAAGGGGAATTATACACGCAGGGCGTTGGGAGATGAATTGAAACGTTTATTCAATCGATAGGAATAGAACGATCCATCATTCGCGCACCCACTTCCTCTGTCAAATGAATTAATTTGCTGGGTAATTTTCAATATGCACCAAAAACATCGATTCAATCCGAGCTCGCCTGTTTTTTCCTCTCTGCTGCTGTTTCGTTCGTTTACCATTCTATAACTGGGGTGGATAATCAAGAGATATATGTCGACGTCATTCAGCCTGTTGAAGCTTTATCAATGAATCGTTACTCTGTCCGTGCAAACGTAACAGTATCATATTTAACCGAGCAAGAGGAGACGACCAGTCTACGACTGATAAGAGTAACAAACCCGCGAGTTTGATTCAATTTCCACGGCGATCCGTTCGAATCGCGAGATTGGATCGGTTAATTGAAAAATTCAACGTGCGCGATCGCTACCTAACGAGATTTTCGTTACACCGTGGATTATCTCTGTGACATTATTCCAACGGCATGGAAATGCGCAGATTTTACGATTTGACGTATTTCAACTTGATCCGACTGGTTGACGATAGTCGAGTGTAAGTCCGAATAGAAAATATAATATATTATTCATGATTAAATTGTCACGGAAGAATGAAACATCGTTCATCTTGACGTCAGTCAAAAGTGCAAAACAAATGCGAAAGCTGTGTTTTCTTTTCGTATTTTTATCGTCGAAAAAGTTTCGTTCCAGTAATACTGCGAGACAGCGTTTCGAGCGAGGATTATTTTCCACCGGACACGACTGCTGCTCGAGGGTGAAGGTAAGCAGTGACCGATAAAAGTAGCTAGCTAGCTACGAAGTTCGATTCAATTTCAGCAAGTTTCCGGTCGTCGTGCGGCACGAAGCGTTGTCGTTGTCATCAAACTCGCATTCACTTTACACCAGCTGAGAGGACAAGCGCGCTGTGTGCAACGCTCGCAAAAATCCACTTTCCAGCTTTGAGCTCCACTCCCGCTCGATGAATTATTCCATCGAACAAGACGGATGAGGAATAATATTCCAATTTCGCTGCTCTAACGCGGCCACCTTCGATCCTCGACATAATGGGCCGCCACGATCTTGTTATGTGAATTATGCGACATCCTGTCCAGACTCGTGCACACTGTAGGAACAACGTCGAAATTCCCGAGGACGTGCTCCGAAGCTGTTACGATGTTACCCGAGTTTCGAGTTAATTTCAAAAAGAAGAGACCGGACTAAATATTTTGTGACAATAAAAGACTGCTTTACACAGAAGAAAGCCATGTAGTAATAAGAAACTTGAAACTGTATCGGTTACCGTTAGTCTATTATATTTTATCGAAGCTGATATCCTGAGAATAGTACAGCTATTACAAAAGAACACTTTCGACTTTGATTTACCGGAAGAATCAGGCCGGTATTCAATCTTGCAACGAAAAAACGATACAAGAAAGACTATACACGAAAGTTCTCATCTTAAGCGATCGATCAGTTGTTCAAGACAGATAGCTTCGTTCCGTACCGCGATAATCTCCTCATCAAAGTCTTCGATAACACCGATTCGTGTCACACGAGGCGATAAAACAGTTCTCCAGCCTGAAAATCGTTCCTTCCCATCCCAAGTACGAAGAAATTACCGTAATCGTCGCTCGTTACATCGATGGCGCTCTGATAAGGTTAAATTATCCACGGATTAAACGTGTCGCGTACAACGACGTCCGACAATTTTCTAAGGGATCATGAACGGGTTACCCTCGTGAAACGATAGCTTCCTCTATTTCTCATTTACGGAGATATCGATGTAATTTTTTCCATATAAAATTATACATTTCTGTTAGGTGTTTCAAGTGCCGTGCGTCGCCGACTCTACGGACGGATCCTCGGATTCTAGATCTCGAAGACAAATCGTTAAAATTAAAAGCGTCACGGCGACGACAGACGGTAATGAAGCGGAAGTGCCTTCCAAGAATCACGTACCGTCTGGCGAGAAAGCTTCCTGTTAATATAGGGCAGTCTTAAATTCTCGTCCGGAGACGGAACGCGAACGTGGCACGGTAACGTTCGCGTAACGACTCGGTCGAGATCTAAATCTTGATAAACAGCTGCGAAGATTGTTAACGTTCCGCCATTATTTAACGGGGGATGCGAACGTTCTCGCGAGTTCCAGCAGAGAAGACCGGTGGAAAAGGCGAAGAGTCGGAAGGGAAGAAAGCGTTTGGACGCCAGCCAGACTCCGCTTCCGGAGCTGAATAGACGACGATCGCCAAAAGGCGGATCGTTCAGGACTACGTTGAATGCATATCGAGAACGTTTTGTCACGGGGATGATTGAAATGCATACGCCGACGAATGTCGCGGGTTAAAATAAACCTCTAACTATAGTTGATCGATCGAAATGAATGAAGAACGCTAAAGTTCAATGGTGGAATTGTCTACGAATCGTGCCAAAAGGTTGCATATAAAATCACGGTAAATGTCATATAATTTCAGTCGACGGACGTATTTATCGGTGGATGCAACATGCCGCCACTCACTTCTGCCAACGCATATGGCTACTTTCGCGATGTCGTCATGCCAGCGTATTGCCCATTAACGAGAAATACGGCGCCTTCGTTACACCGCAATGTTCGCTTTCGAAATAAATCCATTCAACTACGATATAACTGTGCTTTTTTATGGTGTCCCAAGTGTGAAGCAAATTAGTCACCCACACGAGGGCCATTCGGTAAATAAAGAGGAAAGCAAAGCAAAATATATGTGAAAATCACGGTGTTAGTATTCGCAAATTGCGCTGCATTTCGAATGTTACGTAAATAAATCTGGGTTAAGTGAATTTTTCAAAGGATAACGATGAACAGGTAAGTACTCACCGAGAAAGACGTTCTCGTCGATGTCGTCGCCGTGCAGATCGATGTCAAGGTCGACCGCACCGTTGGTAGGAGCCTGATGGCTCCTTTTAGCGAGGTCCATCAGCTCGCTTCGAAGATCCAGGTGGCCCCTGGCCAGCAGTTCGGCCAATAGGGTGAGATAAGAGGAATTCAGGGAGGTAGGACTGGTGGCGCGTAGACAGCCGGGTAACCAGAATCCTAAGAGACCGTAGGGAACCACCGGTACCGCTCCGGTACTGACGAAGCCACCGTTCAGGAGTTCGCCGCACAACATAGGTGCAGCGATGACCTCAGCTCCTCCCTCGTGACCTTGGCAACGCCTCGATCTCGAATATCTGCATGAACAAACATCCAACAGAGTTGAAATTAATCGTAGCCATAACGAAGCGACGTATACCGCGATATTCAATTAAAATAAAATCCTCCATTGTATCGCTTTCTCTTTGAGCAGATTTTCACAGGAGCCTTAAATCAAAAGGGAATAAAAGGGAACGAAATGGAACGAGTTAAGATACCGTTCGGGGAAGAGAAACAAGCGAAACGTGTGCCTCCGTGAAATAGCTATTTTACGTAGGTAACTTAAGGTCGTTACTCTCGCTGGATCCGGCCACGAAACCGAATAATATGCCGGCCACGAAAGGCGTTATGCGCCGTTGAGAGCAAAACTTCGAGACCATCTGCATGACAAAAGAGTTGGCGCAACGCTGGACACCGAGGACACCAGGAACAATACCGTGATTCACAAACACGCGCGGTTTCCCCGCACAATTATCACGGGAATTAATGTCACACGCACGCGAAACATGGTCCACGAGTGGCCGGCACGCCAACGGGGGAATAATTCCGACAGTGGCTCGTAAAAATTCGGTTCGGAAAGGCGACGCGCGTGTTCGTATCGTAAAAATCTCGCGATAGAAATCTGTGACGTCGAACCCACCGTGCATCTTCGGGCGTACACGGGTCGTTTCTGATTCTCCGAAAGGCGAGTTCCGGGCAGAAGTCACATTCGCGCGGAATTTACGGATATTTTCGCGCGAACGAGCGCCGAGACGTTCGATCGAGAGAACCGGTAACGCGACAGTGGACCCGGTTAAATGGAGTGTGACCGAGAGAGGAACAGAAGCGATCCAATGGTAACGGGTACGTTCTTCTGTAGCCGACCAGTGGGTGCCATACTGTCGCGCTGACGTCATCGGTCACTCGCGTGGGTGTGTACACGCTCGATGATCTCACGTTCGCCAAGCTGCATCGAACAAAGTTTCTTGCGACGGACCGTTCGTTCCGTTTAATCGATTCGATTCTACCTTATCTCGGGCGTAAATCGATTTTCAAATAGAGAGGAAACAGGCGGAAAATAGAATGGATTCGAAGCTAGTAAGATTCGAAACAAGTTTCACTTTGAAACGTAGAAAATGTGGGAGGGAAATGATAACGAGTAACACGATCTCCTTAATCGCGCGTTCGATAAGCTGACAAATACGCTAATTTATATTCTGATTATTTTTATGGAACTGCGTGAAGCAAGACTGGTACCGGGTATACGGATACATTGTTACGAGCCTGGAAACAGGTAGGCGTTTCTCTCGCGGATTAAACTGACGGATCCGAAGAAACACCCAGGGAAATGATTTCCCGTTAATTTGATCGTCTACCCACGGATCATCCGCAACATACATATTTCATGGGAATTCGGATTACATCGCGAGAAATCGCTGCCGAGCCGGAGTTCCAGAAATTCCTGATCGGAATTTCGAGCGTGTACACCGGAGGGATGCAGGGAGAGATCGATTACCAATCTTCGTTGCATCTTTCCCTAACATACCTTTACAAATATGTTATTATACTTCCACTTGAAAATTTTCATACAGAGTGTCCCGAGAATTGATAAAAAATTATGAAACGTTTGGGTTTATGGTAACCCAAGGATTCCATCTCTTGTTGCATCTTTCTTGCCGAGGAAATTACAGCAAGCATCGCAGCAGTGTAAGTACACGGTTGGAATATTCGGTCGATGTTACAACCGGAACATGGAAACGCGGTTTCACGGTCATCTTTTCGTTAACGTCTGTGGAAACGATTATTCGGTTCGAACACGGGGAAACGGTACGTTCCGTTGCGCGGAACGACGCGAAGAGATAACGAGTCGGTGCTTAGCAAAGTGATTTAATTTTCCGGAAACACGTGCACGATCGTAGCCCGGTGGAAGACGGTGAATTGAACGGCAAGAAGAACGACCCTTTTTACCCTGCTACTATTTTCGCGAAAAAGCATTACCTACTGCGCATAGCACGCGAACGGAATATTCCATTCGACGACACAACCCTGCGAAATCTTGGATAGCGACGTGACTAGGGCGACGAATTTATTTCGATAATCCCTATCGAATATAACGGGACGTCCTGCCAGTCGATGCGATTACGTCTTGTTCAATGACCTAACCTATATCGTTCCGTGAATTTGTTTAACGATATCGTTATTGAAGATTAATGAACCGTGGAGCTGATATGCTGCAATCGAAATTGAAACGATTCCGCTGTCCGATAACGAGAAATCCGATGCGCTGAATTTAATACATATTAAACGTATACGATAAAAAACGAGCAGATATTAACCGATGGGATGGTGAATTTGAAGCGTAAATTATACAAGCTTTCGTCTAATTAGTAATAAAATTTTCAAGCAGACCAGAATTAACGATCGAAACGTTGCATGACGAAGAACACTAAAATAACACTGTAGACAAAGAATTGATTTTTATTTTGTTTGAAAGAATGAAACATAGCGATGCAGGGTTAAAGGAGAGGGAAAACAATCGTGGCGCGCGATCGAGGCGTGCAAAATTGATAAACCGCGCTCGCAGGCGGCTAAGTTAAATCGATAAAGGGATTAAAACTTAAGCAGTGCGAATACGGGACGCGTCGGTGTTCGTTGCATGGAAACTCACCTTTTTCAACGATTGCACGCGATTCGGTTAACGTTCATGATCGTCGAATTACACAGTTACCGGTACGGAATGAATCATGACCGGCTACGAATACTGCGATACCGGTACTGAGAAGTTTTGCGGATAACACCGGGTAACAGGAGGGGTTAAAGGAAGCCATCGACCAGGAGCGGCAGACGAACGGGCGCCGTGGCCACCCCGTTACACCCCCGCTACCCTCGATCCTCCTTTTATTCAGCGCAGCTTATCCAAAACTGGAACAACCCCTCTTGCTCGCGGCTCGAGAGCACGAAACGTATGAGAGCCGGACACGAGATATTCGTTCCACCTTCGTGGCCATTCATAAAACAACCTTAAACGCAGCTTTTAACCGTTAAATACGTTGTGATTTATATAACAGGTATTCTCGCCTTTTGCCCATAATTTCATGGATCGTTAACCTCCACGGTGGAGAGAAACGAACCGTGGATGAATTTCTGAGAATGTCTTGATATACTCCGTGTATACATTCGACAATTATACGATTTCTCGATAGCAAAGGGGTTGCGTGAAATTTTCGAATCGAACCACGCGTTGTTTCCAGCCACGAACTTACCACCCCCGTATTACTATGTTGGTTCGATTCTCAAGGGCCGTTGAACTCTTGCCGCATTCACAAAGTAGCTGCAAGTTGGCGCGGGTCGATAGATATATAAACGAGTGGTAAGTTTCTCGATGCAGGACCTAGTGAACGGTGTTGCGAGAGCACGTACACATTCGGATCCTGCAGGATCGTTTCCACCCTCTCCTCGTGTCTGGGTAAACATCGTCGACGCGTCGTTACCAGCTCCAATCTCGTCGGTAGCCGCGAAAATCCGACGGGAGCCGATATCACCTGCCGGAAAATCGTCGCGTCGACGACGACGACCTCGTACATGGTAAACTGGTGTGCTCGATATCGCGACGTTCGGGAGAGCCCGCCCTCGGCAACCAACCTTCGACCGTGGGTATACTCTACCTTTGATAACCTTCCTCGAGCTAGGCCTTCGGGCTATACGCGTCTACGGAAATGTCGATCAGAATCGAGCCTCGATCGTCGAATAACGATGGAGTATGCGTGTACGCTCGTGTTACTTCTGATTCAACGGAAATTTGAAAATTTCTATGTCGAGTAATATCGATTGAAATTCGAAGAATCCGCTGCAAGAAAACAGAAGCGAGAAAGAAAGAAGATGAGAAGGTTGAACGAATTTTTTTTATCAGACTGCACAGCCTGGCTAAGAGCAGCTATCCTACTCGATAAGGAGCGAACATCGTTTGCCTCCGTACCTCCGTTCCACGGAAAAACGAAATCTTCTAAATCGAAGATGACTCGCGGTCCGACAAGAATCTCTGCGTTCAGATTTTCGATCTGAATGCAAATAGGCTGCTACTTTCCCCTATCTCTGTTCTCCTTGTTCCCCGAGATGCTTCACACCGTACATGGGAAATAGACTTTATCCTCCGAAACAGTGTGGGGAAACTTGGAACGATTCGGGGCTTTAGCGAACTCGTTCCATGACAAACTTTTATAATTACTTTCGTACAAGGAATGATTACAAGATCTCTCCATTTCCGAAGGATCGCTTAGCAAGTCATTCTTTCAACTAATTAGCTATGTTCACCTTGATATTTTGTATCGTTACCGAATTCTGGAGGAATCAAGATTTCAGGTTCGGCGAAGTTTCGGGGTCAATGGACAGGTTGAAATAGATTTCGCGGTGTACAGCACGGTAAGGCCAGGTAAGACCAGGTAAGGCAAGACATAATTTTACCGGTTTCTGCTTGTTATACCGACCGCACGACGTCCTGTCGCCGTGGCGTAGCTCGTAAAGACGACAAACTCGACGTAATTTTATCCCGTCTGGCCGCGCCTATGCACACACACACACACACACACACACACACGCGTCGCGACGCCCTTCGTCCAAATGAGATTTCACCTTGCGTCAGGTACGCGCCGACACGCGCTAACAACGCCTCCGATGAAAATAAAACGGTTTATACGAGACTTGAACGTCTTTCTTCGCGCCCTTCCCTACCCTCGTTATCCGCCCCTGCCTCGCGATCTAACGTTACATCGTTGGAAATTTTTGTTAACGAGAAAAAAGGTGAAAATAAACCCGAGAGGCAAGGTGCTGTTGACGGAAAATAACTCACCGGGTCGACTCGCGTTTCATGCTGATTCCTCGCGATGAATCGCGCCGTGGCGAACCGACCATGATTCCTGGTTGCAAACTGTTCGACGAAAAACAGTATCGCTGATCGAAAGTGATATGAAATTAGCAGGGACAATAACAGAGTGGCCACAGTATCGCGTTTCGATCGGCAACAGACGATTACATGGAAACGGCTTTTGATGCCGCGATAGCTTGGCAATAGGATTTGCCAGTGAGTCGAGGTTATCCCTTTACGAAAGGAGAATTTACACGTGGATTTACACAGTTTGGCGATGCCTGAATAAAGGGGAGAGAAACGAACGTATCGTCGAATAGAAATTTAAATATATTCGATGTTCTCGATGATACCGTCGAAGGGAGGATACTATCTTCTAAACTTTTATGTAAACCATCGAAATTTCGAACGTGTCAGCTGTAAATATAACTTCTCTATAAATATGTATACACAAGGGATGTTTCTCTTTTTTTTTTGTTTCTTTATACCAGAATAATTACGTCCAATTAACGAATCACGCTTTCCGAACGAGCAAACTGTTCGCTGTTTTAATTAAAACTTTTTGTTTTAGTTTCTCGTTGAAGGAAGAAATTCTGCAGCGCATTTAAAGCGCGAATTCAAACTAAAGCGATGAGGTAAACCAGCAGGTAAACCCTGGATAGTGGACAGGGCAACGGGTTGATTGATCGCGTGTCAGGTTCCAGCCAACCTGGCGCCAGCACAGAGTCTCTCAACCTGGCGCCAGTTACCACCCTCTACACCCGCTCCCTCTACAATCTGTCCTCGCTCTCTTATCTACACGACATTTAAGCATAAATTTCCTGACTCATATTTTCCTCGAACCATATACATAAATGTTAAATATTCTTCAGCAGCTTTACGTAGAACAACCTTGAAAGGTGACGAATAAATTTTCGTTTAACACCGTTGATTACTAGCGGAGGGGTCACGGCTGACTCTGAACTTAATTTACAATTAATCACGTAATTAAAATATTCCAAAGGAGGAAAGAATAATGATGCAGCAAACTTGAGGAAGTAATTTGCTGTCCTCGCGACAATCGCCGTGTAAGAGAACGAGTGATACAAATCGTAGACATTTACAGTCTTTCTGTCAGTCACTTATTCCTTCGTTCACGTTCTTCGTCCGCGGTGCCCCGCGTCGTTGAACCTTTTTATTTAATCGACGAGTGACGTTATCGCAGGTAATATTGGAAAAAGAGGCGGCTCCACCACTCCCGACCGATCTGGCTCGCTCCATCAAACATTCATGCCTGCCCCGTCCGCGAGTTCCGCGTTGCAGCTCCGTGAAAATGCTCCCGATAAAATGCACTGTCCCTCCCCTATTTCTCTCTCTCTCTATTCTCCCTTCATCCCGCTCGGTGCTCTTTTGTGCGCGATATGACGTCGCCTCCCGTCGCCGCTAATATTCTTCAGGTTGGTTTCCGCTTTTACGGAGCTACTTTTCAAAAAATCGTTCCGCTCGCTCGAGCCCGATGACGATCCCCTTTTCCCATCGTGAAAATACTTCCTCGTTTCATGGTAATTTACAGCTTGTTCGATTCGTACGATAATGCTCGAACATCGAATTAACCGGATCGATTTTCCACGCGGAACTTGTTGCGAGAACGCGGCAACACTCTCAGGGGGAAAATAGATGACCTCGGAAATGTAAGTTTAAAAAACCGTGAACCGCAAGCGAAAGAGGGTGGACAGGAAGAGTGACTTCTGGATGCAAAGAGAGGAGAGTGAACTCTAGACCACTTCGTCACACTCGAGAGAAGACGGAGAGGGCAACACGGCAGCTTGTTCTACTTTACGGTCCTCGGAACAAACGGTAGAGAAAACTCAACTCTACCTGGATAACCCCCGTCCCACGCGGCTGAACAGACCAACCCCGAAATTGTGACGAAACTCGGGCAAATTTCCTGTCGAAATAAATCCCAAAGGCTGCTCGCGAATGGTGCTTTCATAAGAGAAGTACCTTTCGATGCAATCTGTAAAATCTCGCCGATGTATACGCCGTTGAAATGTTTACAGTATTAATATATTATTACGATTAAATGTGACGATAATGATTTATGCGAGCATCCGCACGTTTGTCATCGGAATCGTTATGGAATCAGATGAACGACGTCAGCGCATATCGGAAGATATGCACGCTCTGTCAGGCATTCGTCTCATGAATGCAAATGCACTTGACGCGAATGGTAGTATGTAGATTAATCCCCAGCTGGTCGAAAACTCCGTCGGAACTAACCTCGTTTTCCACGGATATATGTATATAAATGTCTGGAGAGCCTTTATAACAAATGCCTCTCATATTAGCGGTTCAATTCTACCTATAAATTACATTTTTTTATCTTTAATCTTCCAATTGAAACGTTAAACTTCTCATATGATTATTCTAATACATGACTTACACTTTTACTTGTTTCTATAAGTTATTTTGAAATTCAACTATCGACAAGTTACACAGAAAAAACGCGATAACGTTTCTGTTTTTTTCTGAAAACAACGGAAAGGTTAAAGTACAGTTTCATAATTACACTCGATCAGAACACGCAAGTTTCGTAAAAGTTTCGTCGAGTCATAACGATTACTGAAAGTCATTGATGATATAAGCAGAGAAAAGGATTAAAATAACAAACTTCAAAATATTGAGAACTAATAATTCTACCACTTATTTATAGAACATTAATTATGAAGTAACTATTGAAAATACTATTTTATCAGCAAGCCTATAAATCTCATACGTTCCGTTATTATAAAAATCTGATAAACGCTAATGTTGAAAAAAATAACCAAAACAATTCTTAATTTAGTCTTGGTGGCAGTCGACGTGTTAATAAATCGGGTATGTATCGTTCGATTTTTCTCAAAATTGCTATGAAATCACCGAGAAAACGTTGCGAAAATACGGTTAATTGCTCGAGAAGTTCGAGTATCCTCGCAAATGTACTTTCGTTACTTATCTCTCTCGCATAATACAGCGCGATGCATCTCGAAAACGGGACGGTAAGAGTTTCTCGGAATACAAAACAGTTTTCCGATAGTTCTCGCTAGTGCGAAAACGAACGGAGTTCGCGAAGCCTAGCCATCGGCGCGGGAACAGCAGAAACTCGGCATGTATCATCGTGGAAGAAGGATGAATTACGAATCTGAGCGGTACTTACCAAAGTTTTCATAAAGTTCAACACCACGAGAAGGCCGCTGCATCAAACGAGCCACAACTGTAACAGAAGAAGTATTTACGGTTAATTCGACGTAACGACAGGAAGAATCATTTCACCAATTCGTTACATCAATTCACTTGAATGCAAAACTGCAACATATAGGCTTGGTAAAAATTCCAAAATTTTATTTTAAAATTCAATTTAATTTAATTTTATCTTTTTCTTTAATTTTTATTTATTTTTTTTAATAGTATTAGAAAATTTTTCATCTACTTCAATGTCGACTTATATAAACATGCAATAAAATAAGTGATAATTGAACACGCGATATACCGTCGAAAATCGCAAAAAATAGACTCGACGAGATACAAAAATAACAAAACGTTAAAATAAGAAATTTGAAACCCATCATTTTGAGAAGTTACGTAACATATTTGGCGCTTTCAAACATATGGATCATTATTAACGATTAGATAAAGACGTAGTCACCACTTATCTTTAAACACACTATAGCAGTGTCGTTCAGAGCAGCGCGAAACATCGTTCGTATAAGTGCTTCTGCGTGCGAAGAAAACAAAGAAAATGGCGTCTACGTGTTTTACACTTGTCATTGGTGCATTGGTTCTGCTAACCTTTTACCTGATCAAAAAGTACACCTATTGGAAAAGACGTGGAATTCCAACGGTGAGGGGAATCGTTCCTTTCGTGGGTAACATATTACCAGTACTAACTATGAAATACAATTTCTTCGACTACAACACCAAACTGTACAACGATTACAAAAACTACAGCATGATTGGATATTACAAATTACTGACGCCAGTGTTGTTGATTCGCGATCCTGAATTAGTGAAAACAGTGGTGCAAAGCAATTTTTCAAATTTCCACGATAATGGAATAACACTTCGACCGGAACTGGATCCTCTGCTATCCAAGGATCCGTTCTTCGCTTCCGGCGAAACATGGTCGCGTTCTAGGAAAAGACTGGCTTATGCATTTTCTAATGCCAAATTGAAGGTATTTTACGCAGCCGTTAATGGAGTGTGTAAAAAGTTCGAAGAGTTTCTTAGCCAACAATTAACCGACAACGAGAAATACGAAATTGAACTGAAGCAATTGTTTTCAAAATTCACTGCTGAGATTGTGGCTAATGCCGGTTTCGGTTTGGAGGGATTCTCTTTCCAGGAGAAGAAGAAACCCAAGGCGTTCGAAGCGATTTCACAGGGAATGTCCGACTTCAGCTTCTTCAGAGGGTTCATAAACAACATCGTATTCATTCCTGAAATCAGAAACCTTCTGAGGCTGAGACTCCTACCAAGGGAGTTCGATCAGCTGTTCAGAAATATCGTCAAGGAGAGTCTGGAAATCAGACGAAATGATCCAACGCCTAAAAACGACTATCTGCAATTAATGATGGATCTTTCGAAAAGTACGAACGAGCCAATAAGCGATGAAGATACTACCGCAGGAGCGTTATCCTTTTACGTGAACGGTTTCGAAACATCCGGCAACACCCTTAGCTTCGTAGGCTATTACCTGGCGACACATCCAGACATTCAAGAAAAACTGAGACAGGAGATTACGTCTAAAATCGCTGATTGCGAGGGTGTACTGACATTCGAAGCACTGAAGGAAATGACGTATATGGATCAAGTGATCAGCGAGTCGCAAAGATGTTATCCTGTCACATCCTCTTTTTCGAGACAGTGTACCGAAGCGTGCGAACTACAAGGACCAGATGGATTAAAATGTCGAGTGGAACCTGGTACACAGGTGATTATACCTAATCACGCATTGCAATTGGATCCACAATACTGGTCCGATCCCGAAGTTTTTGATCCAGAGCGATTCAACGAAGACAGGAAGAAAAGTATAGTGAAAATGACTTTCCTCCCATTCGGGGAAGGGCCAAGAATGTGCGTGGGAATGAAAATGGGTATGTTGCAAGTGAAATCGTGTTTGGTTACCTTGTTGACCAAGTACAAATTGGAATTATCAAATAAAACGCAGCTTCCTTTGAAGTTATCGCCATACGCCTCCGTGACGGTACCAATTGGAGGCTTATGGGCTCATATCTCAAAAATTTAAAAATGATTTTTCAAAAACTCGTATGTAACATGTACTATATATTATTTTGAAGTTTCATGTTGATTAGCTGTTAGGAATGTAAGTGTATAAACTACAGAATTGCGAAGCAATAATTAATAGATTACATATACAGTATTCATGATGACAATTATCACGATAATAATGTTCCTACTTGTTAATAAATATCAATCTACTTTATTCCTATTCTTGTCCTCTCTCGCTTAAAATCCCTTGTCAGTCAGATTTCGATTAGCCGCTGGTGGCAAGCTTCCTAACATCGAAACACTGTGTTTAATCGATTGATTTATCGCTTTAAGAATTCGTGACAAGACTTCCTGGTTCAGGAAGCCGTTATTCACCGTACGGATCGGTGTATCCGAACATCGTGTAATTCCTTAGGAACGAGACGGATTCTCGGAGCGTCAGGTGGTTCCCAGACCGCAGCTGATCGATAGAAACGTGGTTTAATGACAAGAGCAGCCATCGATGGGCGTCCAATATCCCTCGTCTTACATGAAGTTGATGGTACGTGGTCGATGGTAATTGACGCCGTTTGTCATGGTAACCGGAAGATCTTGGAACCGAATAACCACGCCGGTGATTGCGTATTCTTTCCACGTACGTAAAATATTTGCAACCTGTCGCCGAAGTTCCTGGGAAACTAGATTCGTTCGACGTCTGAAAATTACGACTATCCTTTTATCGAATTTCCCTACGTATAGCAATTTAGAAATTTTTATTTCTGGTATGGAGATTTCCGTTGAGAAAATTAAGTCGAGGATATTCGTCTCAGAGATTGACGGTGATTGATTCGCGAAGGTAAGTTTAAAATTAGCAGTCAAGAAGGGGTGATCTCCGGCGAGAAGTAATTTCGCTTGGACAAAAGTAAAAAAAGATATTCCTTTTATCGGTAGAAGCAGTTGCAACCAAAGTGACGTACTTTAGATATTCCTTGCACGTTTTTAAAGCGTCCCGTGTCAAAGAGTTTGCTGGAACTCTTCAAGGGAAGTACAGCACGAATCGTCGTCCACTCCCCAGAGAGGATTTTCCTGAATTCGTTTCAACTGGATTTCCTGTAAGCGTGCGCTTACAGACCCACGGATACGCCAAAATACATACAAAAGAGTAGCTGGAAAGAGGAGGTGACACGAACAGAATGTATCTTCGTGAAACAATATTTTCGTTCCCTCTTATGAGATCTGTGTCCCCACTGTTTGGCGAAATACGTTCGGAAAGGGAGAACCATGTATTATTATCGTCGAATCAGGTTTCATTCGACCAGATTCGACTCAGACTCGAAACTCGTTCCCTCGCAAATCCTTCCAGCGGATGTGCTCCTAAGGTTTCAAGGCAAAGACTTCCAGCTGAATTTTTACCAATGCCGATGAAACGAGTACCCTTTCTAACGCAATAAATTCATCTTTGAATCGATTTACCAATTCTGTATCTGCATCGCAGATTGCATTTCGGAATTTTTGGATAACTATTGCCTTGCTTATAGCTGTTGTAAAGAGCTCGAACCGAAGGTTAATCCTCGCATTTTCGCCTTCTATCTTATACTACTCAACAAATTCGAATTCTCCCAAACGTTCCCCTCGCGACCATCTTTTTAAAACAGGAAAACAAAATGATTCAATCAAGAGATCATAGCGAACTGTCAAGGACCTACATCTAAGCGACAATATGATATGGCTACCAGCTGCCCAGCTCGTGTGTACCATATCGTCATCACCTATATTATCGGGATAAATAAATCATCGCTAACGGTAGCAGTTACAGTGTTTAAGTACAAAACCTATCTACTATGTAGTTACACTTCAACAAGATCGACCTAGGAGTATTCGTAGAGTTCAGAGCAATCATTCAATCAGTGAACATCATATATTCGGTTAAACCACTCGCATACAAGGGAAGAACCCCAACTATTCGCCTTCGATGTTAACACGTTAAATGTCGCAGAGGAAACAGCCTTGCATAGTGAGGCACACTAAAAATCTTTCAATTCAAGTTTCATACCTGATAACTTGGATAAATTATACAATATTTATATTGAATTTATGGTCCATGTGGCATTCAACGCGTTAACGAGTTTCTATGAGACGATAGTGAAAACGATAGAACTAATTTAGAGGGAAAGAAGACTCTCAGATAGATGGAGGGTGAACGTGAGAGGGATGCATGGTGATCGATTGCGTCGGTACATGCACAATAACAGGGAGGAGGGATGGAGTCATGTATCTGGGCTAAACAGCCCATTTGCCCTGCACAATGGAAGCGACGTAGCTGTGGGCTCGACTTAATTACCAGAGGCTGCCTTTGGCAGACAACAGAAGAGAGGCAAGAGGATCCTTTATCGGAAGCAGCCTACATCTAAGCTCCATTTAATTGACTCGGACGAATGGAAAATTCATCGACGAATCGGTGCCCATACATCCTAAATTAATTAACACTCCAGAGCTTCCTGAACAATCCTCCATTTCTAATAGGATTGAACAGATCCTTTCAAAATCAAGCGAAGAAAACGTTACGTAAACACGGCAAATTGCGCGAGAAGTTCAAGCATCCTCGTAAGTATACTTTCGTTACTTATCTCTCTCGCATAATATAGCGCCATGTATCTCGAGAACGAAAAGATAAGAGCTTCCCGGAATACAAAACAGTTTTCCGATAGTTCTCGCTAGTGCGAAAACTAACAGAGTTCTTAAAGCTTAGCCATTAGTACGGGAACAGCAGAAACTTGGCATTTATCATCGTATATAGATGGATGCAGTACTCACCGAAGTTTTCATCAAGTTCACCACCTTGGAAAGGCCACTGCATTAAACAAGATACAGCTGTAACAGAAAAAAAAGAAACAATTATTAAATTATTAATTTAATAATTGCATGCGAGTGTAATATACGCCTGGTTTAACTGAATATATGATGTTCACTGATTGAATTATTAAATTACTGATAAAATCAATTATTCATTTATTTTACTGCAATGTCACTTAAGAAACTTACATTGTACATAATGCGATGTACGTAGTTTAATTAAAAGAAACATTGTTGATAAATGTTAATAAATATCGTATCGTGTGTTTGAAAACACTGGCCTGCTGTAAAGATAATACATACAACCTCGTTCGTAATACCGATGAATATATGTTGCGTTTAAATTGATATGACCATTATCGTCACACTATATATAGAGGCACATTCAAGAGCAATATGACAGTGTAGTTCAGAATAGTGTGAAATAACGTGCGTGAAAATACAGAAGTATGGCTTCTACGTTTTTCACGCTTCTCGTGGGTGCGGTGCTCCTGTTCATCTTGTACTTTATCAAGAAGTATACCTACTGGAAAAGACGTGGAGTTCCAACAGCTAAAGGGGTTGTTCCCTTCGTGGGCAATATATTACCGGTGTTAACATTCCAATCAAATTTCAATGACTTGCACAACAAAATATACAAAGATTACAAGCAGTACAGCATGGTAGGGTACTATAAATTATGGACACCGGTACTGATAGTTCGCGAACCTCAGATGGTAAAAACCATATTGCAAAGCAATTTTTCAAGCTTTCACAAAAACGCATTAACGGTTAGAGAAGATGTGGATCCATTGCTTGTTAAAAATCCGTTTTTCACATACGGCGAATCGTGGTCCCATTCCAGGAAACGCATGACCTATGCATTTTCCAACGTAAGATTGAAATCACTTTTCGTAACTGTCGGCGGAGTGTGCAAAAAGTTTGAAGATTTTCTGAACCGACGATTAGCCTTCGACGATAAATATGAAACTGAACTGAAGCAGTTATTTTCGAAATTCACCGGTGAAGTCGTAGCGAATGCCGGATTGGGTATCGAAGGATTTTGTTTCGAGGACACGAAGCATGCTGGGGCGTTCGATGTGATATCTGAACCCCTTTTCGAACCAGGCTTTTTCCGAGCTTTTGAGAATAATGCGTTATTCATAACGGAACTGAGGAATATTCTGAAATCAAGATTCATACCTAAAGAGTTTGATGCATTCTTCCGAAACATCGTGAAAGAGAACTTGGAAATCAGACAAAAAGAATCAACGCCTAGAAACGATTTTCTTCAATTGATGATCGATCTTATGAAGACATCGAACGAGAACATAGACTTGGAGTGTATTACCTCGGAAGCGTTATCCTTCTACGTGGATGGTTTTGAAACATCCAGCATTACCCTAAGTTTCATTGGCTATAATCTGGCCACACATCCCGACGTTCAAGAAAAGCTGAGACAAGAAATTACATCTAAAATCGCTAAATACGACGGGGTACTAACGTTCGATGCGTTGAAGGAGATGACGTACATGGAACAAGTGATGAGCGAATCGCAAAGATTGTATCCTGCTTTATCTGCCTTATCCAAGGAATGTACAGAGAAGTTCGAACTGCAAGGATCAGACGGATTGACGTTGCAAGTGGAACCTGGTACTGAAATCATTATACCCAACCACGGCCTTCAAGTAGATCCCCAATACTGGGTTGACCCGGAGGTTTTCGATCCAGAACGATTCAACGAGGAGAGAAAGCAAAGTATAGTAAAAATGACTTTCCTTCCTTTTGGAGAAGGTCCGAGAATGTGTGTCGGTATGAAGATGGCTATGTTGCAAATGAAGGCGTGTTTGGCTACCTTGGTGGGCAAGTACAAATTTACGTTATCACCTAAGACACAGCTTCCTTTGAAGATGACCCCTTATCATTTCCTAGCATCAGCACAGGGAGGCTTGTGGGTTCATATTTCGAAAATTTAGTAATTGTTATTTCTGAGCGTTTGATTATTCTGTATAAAGGGGCTACGCCCGTATATATATATATAAATAAATAATTTCTAGTACAACTTCTCTAATATTACAATTTTTCTTTGTATATAACTATTTTTATTCAAAAGATGTAAATAAAGTTTTGTTTTGTTTGATCGTCGACAGCGTAAGAGTTGACGTCAACTAAGATTACGTAAATATGGAAGCGATAAATTAATAAGACCTCCGAACTTGTAACATCATTGTCACAAATTAAATTACTGTAACCACTTATAACTCATATAAAAATAACACGTGTTGCGTATCTCTATTTATTTACACTTTGCTACTTGACAAGAAACGTATGAAAACAATTATCACAATAATTTATTATATATTATCGAATTAAACAAAAAATCTAACATTATAAAACTGATAAAGCGATACTGGCGCCTTGACACCACTCAGACAAAACTCGAGAGATTTATTGTGTACTGATAGTGCTATATAGTAGTAAAGTAAGGAGAAAAATAGAACAAAATAGCGAATATATGGTGGTGCGTGTCGAGTCCAAGTCTGTTTGCCGCTTCTCGGAATGTAGGGACAAGAATGAATTTCCTGAGTGGTTTCCCGTGTTCACTATCGCTCTGTACACCTAACTGGGCAAAATATATGTATGCGTGCGCTAACATTTTATATTTTATACATATCTCAGCTAACTTGACGCAACATGCGAAAGAACGACACGTATGTAAAAAGTGTAAGTGAAAGCGTATGTAAAACACTTGAAAAAACAAGAGATCAATGATATTTTGATTGAATAATAAGTGTAAAATTTCAATTTTGTTTTTTTTTTACATAAAACTTGGGTTAATTGAAAGAAAATTATCGAGAAAATCATGGTCAGTATTCAAGAACCACTGAAACGCGAGTACTGCATCTTCTGAAAAGTGTTCATTCCTTGACTCATACCACTATAATATTATGAAATATCGTTCCACTTTTCATTCATCCAATTTTTCGTACAATCTTCATACCGAATTACAAAAGAAACACGATCAGACGTTTTCCACGATGAAACATAATGCATTTCCTCGTTCGCTAGGAAGAGGAGGTTCTTTTTATCTTTTTCCTGTCTACCTTATCTCTTGTCACAACCGATCGGTTCTACGTTTGCACGTGGAGAAACGAAGGAAAGTAGGAAGATTGTACACACGCGCGGGCGTGTGGAAAGCGAAAATGTGTATCGTAGTTCTTGGAACAGAAGGATGGGGGTAGGTATAGGAGGCAGGGGATGGAGGTGAAGGTGCCTCCTCGCATCGCAGTGCATCTTTCTCTGATTTCCCGTGGGAGGAGTCTTCTCGACAGCTTTCTGCTATTGAAGCCAGAAGAGAATGAAGGACAGAGTAAGGGTAGGTGGATAGAGTCGCGACTCGTGCCCTCTCGCGTAGCATGATTTATTTTATTGCTTTTCGAGAAGCTAGCATAATTCCACCCTTGATCCCTACCCACCAGTTATTTACCTCCTTCCAGCTACGTGTAGAAGGACGGACAGAACGGATCGAGGATCCCGAGGAAGGGGATCAACAGGTACGGAGGACCGTTGGTATCCCTCGGCCACGTCAAGAAATCGAACCGCGTTCTTTCTGAACGCGCGGAAAAAGCAACTCAAACCCGACGTTTCTAGGATAAATTTGCTCATGAATAATTATGTTATCGTTACTACGTAAACAATAGACGAAAGTTTATAGAGAATTCTGTAGGTGTATCAGCCGAGCGAATTACCCGAATTCGCACGGTGTACGGTTCTACCAAATAGAAGCACCGGCCAGAAGTTGGTCTTGATTTAATTAAAGCGGACACTGGTAACAGCGATGCAGTAAATTGAAAATTACCGAGCGAACTAATCCTCTTAAATGGAACATTACTATCGGAACCGTACAGAGGACGAGCGACGAATTCGATTATTTTTGACTAAAGCTACGACAATAAATTAATTCTCTTTCATGGACTTTCGATACTTTTCAGTATCGACAACTAAATCCTATTGCCTCTCCCCCGTTTTTTTATCTCGATTACTACCTCTTTTCATTCTGATGAAACTTAATTAATAATTCAACGATGTTAAACGATTTCTTCTCGTTCCCTGTTTCTTGCATTTTCTTTCCATTACAGCGTTGGATATTAGGATATTAGCAGACCGGTTGAAAGGATACAGGAAGAACGTCAACCCGGAGCGTAATATACTTGCTTTGCCGAATGCACACCGTGGACGGGGGGGGTGGTAACAGAGGGTGGTTCAACGGAATGGAGAAAAGGGGACAGCGACAGGGTCGTAGCAGGAAATTTCACGGAGTGGCGCAATAACGTTTCTTATGCCACGTTTCCGGAGTGGCGTGCTGTTAGAGGGTTGGGCAGCTTGCAAATACTCATTGGGAGGGAAAGAGAAAGAGAAAGAGGAGAAAGGAAAAGGGAGGAGATGCAGTCACTCTCTGGCATGCAATTAGGAGGCTAGGCATCGCCCTGGAAAGGATCCCTCTTTCACTGTTCCCGCTGTTATCCTTTCTCTCTTTCCACCCTCTATTATCTTTTACCTTCTTCTATCGTCCGTTTCATTGTATACGTACACAGATTTTCTTCCTCGCACACTTCCCTATAATAATCCGCGTTAGCGCCTTTCAACGCACACAACCGCAACTAGAAAATATCGGGAAACTGTAACTCAGAAATTGGACGCGTTTTCTCGCGGAAATCAGAAAATCGTGATTCCGAACCGTAGCGGAGAACCGAAAGTTATTAAACAGTTGTTACGATCTGAAATTTAACACTATACGTGAATTATTGTGACAGAAAAACAATAGTAGGTATCACGATTCACTTAGCTTGTTTTACCAAACTTTCTTCTAATACGAATCGTGAAACGTTGGGAAATTTCATTTTCCTGTCTAACGCGATACGTTACGGAAATTTTTCCACGAGTGTATTGCTGCGAGTGAAACGAGAACCGTATTAAAGGTGGAACGGGCAGGATAGTAAAGTGTGTGAAAAAAAAAAAAAAAAAACAGGGATTTGAAACATTGCTGCTGCAAAGGGGTGAACGCAGTGCAGCGGATAGTGGCATTCAGTGCTACCCGACGGATGATTCCCGCGGGAACGGGTGGTAAACACTAACACCAATCCTATTTTTCCTTCTCTTTCCTCTGCTCTATCTATTTCTCGTTTTTTGCTCGCTTTTTCCAGTTCTGCCATTCTCCCACCTAGCGACGACGCGTAATAACGATAATAAATCGTGTCTGAGTGATTTAGTGGTTCATTTAGCCGGCAAAAGTCTCGCCAAGGCTCGTGGGATCGTTGGCCAGATTATAAAGAATAAGTCATTTCTGTCTTTGTCGATCGGCAAATTAAACGACACTCGCAACGATTCCTCGAAAATTGATTAATCGATTTTCACGCTACGTATTTAACTCGGTCAAATAAATCATGCACAGCAAGGACGGTGTAACTATCAATAGAAAAAGGAACGTGAACTTTTGTGCTGACCTAATATCTATAGAAGCATTGTTAAGAAAAATTGTACACATATTCGATAGAAAGGGAATCGTTTTATTCGTTCTGCGACGGTTTACGTGCGGCTACGGATGGAACTTGCAAAATAACAAGAGGAAACCGATACAGCAAATGTAGCCAGTTTATAAAGTATCGATCACTCGAGTGACTGGTGAACCGAGAATAAAACGAATCTTTCGAACAGTAACGAGCTGAAACGGATAACCGTTCGGGCACCGATAAAACTCAATCGGTAGCAAAAGTAAGCTGGTCGGTGTAAGACGGGATACTCTATTACCGGAAGTTAACAAACCTTTTGTATATAGCGCGATCGGTAGCGAACGAAGAGAAGCTACTTTCGAGCGGAGCTTCTCTATTTCTCGTTTCACGTGCTCCCTTGGGTCATTGGATTTGAGCAATCGCGAAAACAATAGCTTTAATCTCGACCAGTCACAATGCACCGGTCGCCAGTATTGCCTGACAGCCGATAAAGTCTTCATCCTCCGCTAGTGTTCACCTATTGAGAAAGACCTTGATGACGGAAAACTTCGAGGAAGCCGAAGGACATAAACGTGCCACGAATGTAAATCATCTTAAAGAACTCTGATTAATCGTCCTGACTCTATAGGGTACACTTCTTACCCGTGACGTAATTCAGAATAAAAAAAGAAGAATATATTGATCGAATCGAATAACCTCTTCCTTTTTCGAGGTCGGTTAAAAACCCTATATTCTCTTCTAAATTCGATTTCACCGAAGAGCTAATATACACACGGTTTATCCAGCCTCCCTTATTTATCGCGTTCCTTGCTCCGGTTAATAAACGAACCGATTGGTCTTCGGGCTACGTGCGAAAGAAGAGACAAGTGGAAAAAGAGGGTAAGGGCAATTCTGTTGCGCCTTGATTTTGTCTGCCTCGTGCGTGTACCGGCGGATAGATTCGACGTTAGCCTGGACGCCGAAAGGGGATGGAAAAGAGGAAGGAAAGCACGTCTGCTTGGTATCTTTACGACCTTCCAGGGACATAAAATGGTGTTATCCTTCCGTAGTTGGTTCTCTAGTAAAGATGGTACAAGCGCGCACATACGTGTAGATAGAGGAGACAGGTACGTATGGGCCGAACACGACGGACCACGACCCTTTCTGCCAGTTAGTCTCGTCGAGATACTAGGATAGCGATAGGACATCAGCCTTTAAGCATCACCCTTGAACCTTGCTGGACGGTACAAACCTCAATATTGTCGACAGAAAGGAGGATAAGCCGATCCCCCAATACAATGCCACCTTTCTCCTAAAGGAAGGTGGCGAAATTTCGAGAAACGGGACAAACATCTTTTAACTTCCAAATTATTTGCATCGTGTAAAAGCTCCATTGTTCATAAAATTTCTTTGAAAACGATAGAATGATATTTACGGGTATGTTTCGAGTACGAGGAGTTTATTTGTTCGTTGCATATGCATATGCATGCCTACGTACAAGCGGAGAATCATGTATTCAGCAGAGTAACAGGTGTACTCCTATCCTGCTATGAGATACGACCTTCCTTTTCCGTTCGATCTAGCTCGGATATTAATGTCGAGGCAAGTTGTTCAAATATCGTCAGACAAAGGGCATTGCGATAGGAGTACAGTGATCGTATGGAAAATTTGGAACTTATAAAAACCTGTATACACATATAGTGTCTCGAGGTATTTTATACGTCTGACAGCTGTCGGTAGCAACGTTCCTATCATCCAGTTTGTATTACACGCGACCATAAAGTTACGTTGGAAATCGATTTCCTCTTTTCCGTTACCTAGAAACCAATCGTAAAATAAAATCCACAAGAAGCAACGCTTTTGAATGTCTGCAACGACAAGTAGTAGCTTCGAGTTCGAGCAAAACGTTACCTCGAAGGAAGCATTCCCTTTTCGTTTTGTCATTCTTCTTATCACCCGCCACCTTTCTCCTCTCGTTCTTGACACACGAGGGGAGAGAATCAAAAAAAAGGAGAGAAAAAAGAGGTAAAAATTGTCCCCGTCTAGGTGTTTCACGTCTCTCGGGCAAGATAAGATCCGTGAAAAAAAAAGAAGGAAAAGAAGGCGAACAGACGGCGAGGGAGGAAAAAGAAAAAAAAAAGGTCGCGAGACATTGCTGCGAAGCTCGCGATGGAAATTGAATTTCCAGGTCGAAAGTTCTCGGGAGACTCCCTCTGTTACTTGGTTCTGTTGTAACACACAACGCGAAGAGCTTTCGCAGAAACCGTTCGCAGAAATACAAAGTCCGGACGAGTTGCGAGGTGACTTTCCTTTCGAAATTAGCTGACAAGGAAGAAAATCAATTCGCATCGCGAGTAATTTCGTCACGATTACGTTCTCGCGAAGCGTAGAAACACGAAGGAAAATTTCTTTCCGCTAAGCCATCTTTTCGCTGCAATTTTCTCGCGCAAACTGCTCGTAAACTCTCATCGTGACGTAGACACATTCAACGGCTAAATTACAGCCTGTCAGGGTGCAATACTTAATTACAACGGCGTTGAAATAAATATTTCACTGGTGCTCGTCCTTACAACCCTGGACAGAGAATTTATACGCCAAACCTTTCTATCCTTAATGAAACATAAATGAAATCTGTGCCCTATCGCATCTTGTAGTCGTTGAATGTTTAAAATAAATTTATCGTTTTCACGGATTATTGCAAACGCTCACGGTCTTCGTGTAAATCATCCTGCTCGCTGTATTATTGAATTTGATAGGAGCGAGTTCATAAATCCAGCATCAGAGAGCAGTTACCGTATAAACGGGGTTTCCGTAGTAGCCGGCGTATCAGAATTAAGTGTAAACCTATAGATTCGAGGATCCCTTTCGGAATCCTTATAGGGTCGTTATCGAAGGAAACGACGCTTGGAACGGGTGGCATTCTGGTCAATAGTAGTTAACGGTGAAAGCAACACGCAAATATTGATTACGGATAGTCCTTGGTTAAAACGTCGCGAATAAGCACGAATATGCATTTACCAACAATACTGAGTCCTTTCGCTATGGTTCGCTATTTCGACCGAAAACCATTCGCTGTGCAGGAAATAGCAATAGCAGTTGGATGGTTGAAATTTTGTAAATTAATCATTTATTACGAGAAAGGGAAAACTTAAAGAAGATAACGTTGAATATGCATATCATTTATATGCTAATACGTAATATCGAAGTTTGATTACAAGGAAAACGTGGGCAAGTATATTGTAGGTAACCCTAAAAATTTTTCTTCCCTCCTAACTGATCTTCTCGAACATCCAGACACGCCCTTCATCGACCGTTCCTTTCACGAATTAAGCTCGGGATAAGGTGGTATCCGAAGGCAGTAAGGGTGAGAAAGTCAAGGGCAAGGGCGTGGGCGTAAAACGAAGTATAGAAAGAGGTCGCGCGAGGGGTAGAACTCTAACGCATTCTGTTACCCGTCGAAAAGAGGAAAAGAGGGTAACTCTTTCGATGCAATTTCTGCAACCCCCTTTTATGGAAATCGTAATAAACTATGCTTGAACTGTTGATAGCTTTCGCTTCAGTAATTTACCGAATCTTCGAAATTTTGCAAATTGCCAGGCAACGTCTTGTGATGGTTATTACAAACTTATAGATATCTACAATCCTCTTATAAAAGCATTGTTACATAATTAAGTTCACAACCTTAGTCATCTGAAAAGATAATAACGATACCTACAATAGAAATTATTTCACCGAGTATTCTCGTCTCCGAACTGAATTAAGTAAAATTGTAGTTGTTATCCGACCGGAAATTATTGTCGCAGAGAAACGTTCTTCGCAGGTCGAGCTCGACGCAAATTTCATCAATTACGATATCGAAAACCTAATTAACATTTCTGCGATGTTTCATAATTTCACGGGAGAAGCGGAGAAACTTCGTGCAAAGAACTAATTTTCATTCCCAATGGGATAGAAATTTGGCAAGAAGGCAAATATAAAGCGACAAAATATATAGTCTCCGAAGGAAACGAATCGTAGCCACAATTTAATTATCTCCAAGATTTTCATTTACTTTATGCAATAATAAAGCCAAAAGTTGAACGTTAGAACCATAATGTATTTCTCTCGGTTGATGTCTTAATTGGATCATAGGAGGTTCATTTACCAGCAGCGGTGCGTGCCTCGGGGCAGAAGAAAAGAAAAAGTAAGGAGGAAGAAAAACGAATGAAAAGAGGAATTCCATCTGTCGAACTTATAAACGATCACCCTTCGTCCCGATTTCATTTCACGAGCCGTCGCGCATCTAGACGTTTCTTCCTCTCTCACCCCTCTCATAATTGTCATAACTTCCTGCGTTTCCTCGCCCTTTTATATCATCGTTCCACCTTCGTCGTCCTTCTTTCTCGGCCACGACCGCGACAGAGGAAGGCATTAGAAATAAATTACCGAGACGCGTCAGAAACTGATAAAATATTCCCGAACCGGCGATATTAGCGAAGAAAGAACGCGGTAATAATTTTCTCCGGGTGATCTAGAAATTTAACTGCCACTCGAGATGAATAATATCGGGCGATAAATCGCAACATTCCTACGGTGGCTGATATTAATATTCGATTCAGGGCGATATTTAAATAGTTAATACTCGATAATTATTTTTTAAAATTCCATGGCGTCCGAGTATTAACGCGCGCCACTGTAAGTTTCATGTTTCCCCTCTTGGAAATGCAGCTACCATCCCCAACCTAATCTTCCCTCACAGCGAACAGAGGGTTAGTTGGACGAGATTTCCCGAAGAATGTCCAAGTTAAACGGAGAAATTTTGCAGAGAATCGCCGGCCAGTGTTCGCGACGAGGGAGGAGGTAACGAATTTCAGGAAACATTAGACTCCCTTCGCGTCGGACCGAAGGGTCGGCGAAGGGGATGATGTCGGGTTAAGGTCAGACCAAGCGACCGATTCGGGATCGTCTTGTTGTAACCGATCGTAAGAGAAGGGAAGGAGGGATGTGATCGCGAAGATGTCGCCGAGGAAAAGGAAAGGAAACATACAAGTAGACGGAGAAAGAGAAAAGAAGAGTAGAGTATTGACGTTGGGCCGCTTTTAAATATTGCATCCAAGTCACGTTCAGGACCGTATCCTCTCCACTCCCATCCCTCAGCCCACTGCCAACCAACCCAACCCACCTACAACCCCTCAAGTCGACCCCCAACCCCCTTTTTTCTAACCCCACCAGCGAAGCGGCTGGGCCGAACGTCGCATAACTACCGCAAGGTTTCCAGGGAGACAAAGGAGAAACTTGAAGGAAAGAAGATGGAAAGAGAGGAGCGAAGAATGACTGAAAACTAGAAAGAACTAGACGTAGAATTCTAAAAAATAGAGACAAAATTTTACATACCGTTTTTTATACTCAAAATGCCGAATCTTGAATATAAGAAAACACAATCTCATAATTTTTCAATTTTCAATTTTTTTTCCCCTCTTCCTTGGGATCTTGCCCGAGAAAAACATCCCTCTGTACCTCCCTTTGGCGAAGAAAAAACGAAACGGAGGGAGGCAGCAAAAACTAATGCACAGGGAGTACGGCTCTGTCGTTTGTGCGAGACACGTTCGACGCTTCGAGAGAACAGAAACGAGAAAATGAAAAGAAAAGAAAAGAGAAAAAGGTCTAGCGACGGGACGTGAGACTGGGGTTGTATTCCCTTTGTCGTCGCGTTGATCGTCATTAGACTCGTTTTCTAAACGATTTATTTACATACACCCCTTTTACGGAATATGTAATAATACGAACCCTTGAACGGCGGAGCCTGGATCAATCGTGACCCAAACTTACAAAACATATACAATGATATTAACCTACAATAATGTGAAATAAAAAATTCAATTAAAATTCGGGCACTCTCCATGGTCCGCCGTCCGAAGGTTAAATAATTATTGCTGTGAAGAATACTTGTTATTAGATGCAAAATTAAAATATAAAATAAAATTCTGTGGATTTTAATATTCTTGAAATTACCACCACCTCGAAAATCTCCTTAAAACTGTACACAACTTATCGACTGTTGTGGGCGAATTAACCGTGTCAAGGACGTATACAAGAAAATTACACTATTGCCCTCTACAAAAAAACACATTTTGTTCCTTGAAAGTACAAGTGGCTTGTACGTGACCCTTGCCACGTACGCGATATTAAAAATAGAAAATCGAGCCTTGTTTACAAAACTGTTGATGTATTAACGAAAAGCAGCGTGAAACTGAATGTTGTTAAACGCGTCCTACGCCACGCGTTTAAGCGCGAGTTTACCTGACATTAGCCCTCGTAAAAGGGATATTCCTAACTAGCACAGTAGTCGGATACATGGTCGCTTTGAGCCATAACAGTGTCGTTTTAGAACAAAATGACAACGTTCCTCAAAAATATGATTCGCAGCTCCTTCAGAGAAGTAATTGTCTTTAAAAATTTCGCGCGAAAGTACCGTTTAAGCACGCGAGCGAACCTATGAAAGGAGTCCGTTCAAATGGCTGACAACCGTTTAAATTTCTCGCAAACGACGCAACTGATCTTCATGAAATTCCTGTAAAGACAAAGAAGAAGACTTACCGTGTAAATCAGGAATATTGGTAGGATGTAGAGGGAAAGTCGTCTCGCGTCAGCTGACTCTTCTTTTGTTCACTGATTGGATGATTCACTTGTAACTGATCGGCACAAAAGTGAAAATAGACCAAACGCGTGAAAGAAGAGAGAAAGATGTGACGACACAGGACACTACGTTACACACTGTACCAACGAACGGGATGACACGCAGCGTCGGAACAAGGTTAGAAACGGCGAAATGTCTTGCTGGCAAGCACACAGAATGAAACGTCTAGTTCGCCTCGAGGGCGTCGCGGCGCTGCCAGGCGACGATGCGACCGCGTTCCTACGATTCCCCCACGAATGTGTCCCCCGTTACGTGCCTGATCTCGCGCGCAAACGCCATTGGGCATCTCTCTTACCCCCACCACCGCTATACCATAGCACCGCGGTCAGGTATGTATGTTGATGTTGATATTTCCACCGTGCCTGTTTGCTAATTTCTATGATTACCTTTGCAATCGAAATGCTTTTTAATACCTATTATTGTTTCTCACAGATAATTAGTATTTAATTAACACTGCTTTTTAATGCTTACTTAGGAAAGCTATCTGAATTTGATCGTCGCTCGAACCTTGTAAATATAAATGATACGGTTTTTGAAGTCAGGCGTTCTACTATTAATTAATTTGATTTTAATTCGTGACAGTATTTATTAGAAATAAAACTTTCTAAAATCGTTAATTTAATTTTGAATATAGTTAATATTTAGACATTTTATGAAATGGTTGCAACAAATACAGATGTCATTATTCGATGACAATTAATACCAATCGTTCGATGTTGAATGAGCCTTTAACAAGGAGGGTGAGCAATCGATAAAATCTGTAACAACCAGAAAATTGAAAAGCTTATTATGCCCGGTAACGAGGCGTTCTACCGGATAATCGGAATCCCGTTAATGATTATAATAGACAATGGGTTCAGGAAGCATGGCACGAGACCGTATGTGTAATTGTGCACTTGCCAAAAGGGAGGAGGGCTACACAAGTGAACCATAACCTCGTGGCACGCGCTCCTACGACGCTCGTATAAAAATCAATACAAACAACCATGTTCTATTCCCAATTTACGTGTATCTTATCCTATCGCTTTTTAAATAAATTCGTTATGTAATATGTTTAAAAATGCGACACTCGAGACACTATTTGCAATGTCGCGTATTTGAAACGCACCCGTCGAGCGCGTCGATTCGCGAGCCTTTAATGCAGAGCTAAACCGCGTTAAATTCAAACACCATAAAAATAACGAGCCACGGCTCAGACCTAGCGTCGGGTTAAATTGGAGAATTTTCATTAAAAGATCACATCATGAAGTAATTATACCGAAATGATAGATGTCTGATGCATTTAAATGATCTCTCGTCGTTTTACTTCATCCTCTTTTCTTTTTATAATTACTCGTAATTAATTTCCGTGATAGCTCCACTTTGACGCGGATGGTTTCGTGCACAGAATTTGTTATTTTAGAGAAATAGCCATATCTAGATTATAGTAAGTTAGACAAAAACGAGTATTCGTCGAGCAGCGAAAAAAAAAAAAGAAGAAAAAACGTACAATTTCCCAAGTAATTTTGCGTACTGCTGCTCCGACGGCCGTTTATTTATTAAAACACTCAGTGGCATGGACCTCTTTAAATCACGCGCATCCCTCGAGTATCCCTGTCCCTCTAATATTTATTAATCTCATTCGCGTTGACCGCTCTTGGCACGACTACGCACTCCGCGTCGGACATTCGGTTGTCTGAAATCGGTTGCTGAAATATTGAACACTGCCCCGTTTTCGATCGATAATCAAGTGTAAAATTTCAGCGAGACTTTTAAACAATTCCATTAAATATTATTCTTATTTAATAAATTCAATTACCAACCCAATTTGAATGAATGTGGTCCATGTTTTATACTTCTGGGTCACAATTGACCAAGCTCCGTCTTTCGATGGTTAAAATCGTTCCCGAACAAGGCGCTTAAGAACTCTTCTCATGAATGTCGAAAGCACCGGGCCGATTACGTGAACTGATAGAAGCGGCCGCATTGAAGCTACATAATATTAATTAACAGTACCGGTGGGTCTGACAGGAAATTAACAACCATTGTATCGCCCCAGTGTATCAATTTATTAGGTTCACCCGTCGGCCTCGTAGCATGAAAACGTACATGGCCATTAAACGATTATATTTTCGATACGCGCTGTATAACCGAGCAAGCTGATCGGTTACGTATTGGCCAGTTTACGCGTCAAAGTTTACCAAAGGATCTTCAGGGCCGATGCACCGAACCTTCCTATCGTATAGCGCATACTTCTGTTGCCACTGGTGTTCATTATCGCCAGTATAGATATAAAGGGATACCCGGAATACCAAACAACGCGACGTTACGTACAGAGCGTTACGTGATAAAACAGAGAAACTAGCTTTATTAAGGAGATACGGACAAAACACCGATACCTACATCTAGTTATTACCCTTATCCTTATCCCCTTTAGATTTCTTTGTATGGGGTTAAGTAATTGAAACAAAGATGAATTGACCCACGATGTATACATTTTATAGTTGGAATAACATTGTAAACACAAAGAGCACCTCGTACGTTTGCGTACAATAATAACGCGTACTTATAGAAATAGTTGTAACACGCTCGTACATGCACGCTCACAGGAGCATGCGTGGACAGAATGGGGTGAGTCAAGGCGAGCGCATTAAGGGTGGGTGATTGTAATTTCACACATGACGTAACGCATCCCCTGCCGCGTTTTCTGCCGTCACCAACCCTCTACGTCACTTCACCTCTCCACTGTATTTTGCTTTCCTACGTTCAGCATGCATATATCTACGTGTACAGTGAGTCGTATAAGTATCCGTATCTTCACAATTGGACGGGCAAAGAAATATTACGACGTTGATTAACAAGAATATCTATTGCGTTAATTAAATTGTAGAAAATGTGATTGAAAAGAAATTTAGATACAAATTTGAACTCCAAGTTATATGTCGAGTCAGCAAAGGACCGGCATTCAAATCTTTCAAGTCTCGCTTATTTTATTTCTGTAACTATGTCAATATGATCCTGCACTCTTCATAGAAGGGTTAATTGAGAGAGTACGAGAATACTTTTGCGATTCACTGTACGAGGTATGGAAAAGCCGCTCCACTGTATTGCTATTTCTCTCTCGTTTTATCTCTTGCAACCCTCGTTCGTCATTGTCTTCCCTCTATCTTCTTGTTTCTTGCTCTATCTGTTTAACATGCAACACTTGGAGGCCTCTTCTTCTATGCCTCTGTGCCGTCTTCGCTTCCAACCAGCATCACATTGGTAACCGCAACCGAGTCTGCAGTGACTAACACTGACTGATGGTTCTGTGCTGATTAGAATTTTCGGTTGAAAGGGCGACACTGATAGCTGCCGGATATAACTGAAGGATTGCACGAGGAATTAGGCACGAGCGCGAGATTCATCGTGGTTGAACAGCATTAGATATTCTGTTTATCGTTAGACGCACGCTGGGACAACGTGGAGAGTTTGCTTTGTTAAGGGCAACTCATTAAGCCTAACACGTTCGCTGCGGACCGAGATTCGTGGACATTCGTCGGGTTAATGAGGTAAGTGTAAATTATAATTAACATGGTAAACAGAACATCTTTTTCATCGTGGATCCTTGTTACCGTCACCCTTATTTCCGGCAGTCATTTTCCTGGATTTCTTTGTTCCTCAGATTAGAATTGCAATGGCCGGGTAGCTTTGTATATTCTGTATCGATTAAAATTTCTGGCCGAGAAAATAACAATGCTGGTGTTGGGAATAATTTCGAAAGAGCTGGTAATATCGTCGAGCTCGCGTCGAAAGTAGGATATCAAAGAAAAATCGTTGACACAACTAATAGGCTGAGCGAATAGTTGGTAATTTCTGAAAATGTTATGCAAATCTTGAAAGTTCGTGCATCTTCGGGGCGCACTCCGTAAAGTTTGTTCATTAAAAGCACGAGTCGCTCTGGGGATTATTGATTATTCCTTTAATTAAATGCACTTTATCTTCGCATAGTTTTGGCAATTAATTCCTACGCAAACTTTGCATAACTTGGAGGCACATTCGTGCTTTACGTTACCATTTGTTCGCCGTTTCGTAAGGATGCACGTTTTCTTCTGTGAAACCCGATGCTTATTTGCTACGTAGACCCAAACCTTTATACGGCTCTTTCAGTGATATTTAATACCTGTAAACCGGCGTTAACCTCGCAAGATCAGAAAAGGGTGGAAGATAAGGGATAGAAAAAAAGAAAGGAGAAAGAGCGAGACGTCGAGTGGGTAAGGGGGTGAGTTTGGAACGGAGCGCCTTATCAAAAATTAAAATTTCATTCGGCCAGACCGAGCATCTCTATCTCTAGATCCTCGAGGCGGTTTAGAGCTACCGGAAGCGAAAGTAGTGGTACTGGGAAGGGGGTTAAAACTCTAATCGTGAGAAACTAACTTTCCCTTCGAGAAACTTTCTACGAACCGTCGTTTGCTTCCTCCTTAGCCCCTCGCACTTCGCGGCTCTCCATTTTGTTCGAATATATTCCGATGCCCCTAGCACTGGATTTGAGCGGCGTGCATTTGAATTTACGACTGTTCCTCCAATCGATGCCTCGTTACTCGTTCCTTAGATTCGTGTAAATTCTTTTTCCCTCTTTTCCCGTTTCCATCCCCCGGAAAACCTCGCAATCGAGCAACAACAGCGAGTCTATTATTTTCCGTTTCATCGTATTCTTCGTTACGACGTCGAGCTTAATTGCCAATCCCCTTTTATCTCGATGTAAATGAACGTTCAACAGCCGGTGAATATGGAATTTATCATTCCGAGAGATGCTATTTCAAGCCCTAATGTCGGTCACGATAAAAATGCAAAAAATGTAATTTAAAGACGAGCCTAGCAACCAGTAGCTCGCTTTTTAATTCGAAACCGCTGCTCGAAGTAAGCTTTATCGCCGTGTTTCACAAAGGCTGACGGAGAGAGAGAGGAAAAAAAGATTTAGACGTGTAATTACGCGAGCGTAACTCACGAGTTGTCCCGGCGAGTTTTACACACAGGGTGACCCATTTTAGAGGGTAAATGGATTTATCTCGATAGCTCGTCGAATTGGAAAAATTGAATATATAGGGGTTGAAAGATTTCAAGGGATTCGTTCGACTTCCGTTCAGACGATCTATTGTCACTTGAAAAATCAGTGGAAACGTTTAAATTGTTCCTCGTTTCTCTTTCGTGACTTCGGTTCTATCGTTCCTTCTATGAATTCTAAACGACTTTATACGCGATTCG